TGTTCAGACACGGGTAAAAATTATAATTTCAATCCAAATGACTATTTCTACCAGTACAAAATTTTTCGGCTGTTGGCCTTTGTGAAAACTGATATAACCTACCTTCAGTAGTAAAAGTGAATGGATAAAATGGGGGCATGACCCAGACAATAAATGTCCTTATTTACAGACAAGGACATTAAAAAGTGTTCTTTGAATGAGAATTGCTTCGAAGAAAATTTAGTTGGTTTTGTACTTACATCATGCGAGAAAAGGAGTCCATCAGCGGCTGTCGAAGGTTTCACAACGGACTGTGTCAGTTTCGTCCAGGATATTTTATCTGCACCGTGAATTTCCAGGTTTCCATTGTCTACTCCAATAAACTTTTGCCCAAAGTCTGTCACGTCCGGGATGTCGTCTCGTTTCCCTGAAAAAACGTTAGGAACTTAACCAGAACCCTAAAGTCTGAGAATACTCTATAAGGAGGTTGCGTTTTTTCGTCTTTTCGTCGACCTTTTGCGTGAACATACTAAACTTTTGGGTTTCAACGGATTCATAGTCCTATCAGACCTCTTGCGTTGTTTTGGCATTTTTCGCTTGAACCCCGCCCACTCCCCCAACAGAAAAAGAACATCTTCTTACCTCTAAGTGTAATGATAGCCTTCTTATCCGCTGGATACTTGCATTCCTCGGACCCAATAATCATAGATCCGTTATTGGCAATCAGTATGTAGTAAGTGCTTACATGTAGATCAGTCCCTTCCGTATTAATCCCCCATATCAGACGCCCGTCACGTCTGATCTTTATTGCTTTGAGAGGAGGGGGTGACGTGTCCAGCAGTATGGACAACCCGTCTTCGATGATGACAACACTGTCCTCGGTGGGCACCTGAATAAACAAACTTTTTTGTGTCAAATAAAAACCATACTTGGAAACACTGGTACATTACACAAGTGTTCATTCGAAAAGATACATATACGCTACTGTTAATGAGAGGGTCCGTTTAGAGTACCCTAGGTTCTAGATTCCGGTATTGCCAGCTCGATCTTGATTTCATATATAACCCATATCAGCAATACCGGCTCTAGCGAACAGCGGCCATGTTACACTTCCATCAATCAATTTGAACTGCTCCGCAGTGAATCTACAGTTGAATGTCATCAGACCAAAATGAAACGTAAAACAGATTTTATTCTGCTTTATTTAATTTTATTTGCTGTATTTAAGATGTAAAGTGAAAAAATAAATAATATTCTTCGAAAAGAAAAGATATATCCAATGCTTTTGTATTTTTTGCTTATCAAAGAACATTCAGTCCTGAGATATACACGTGCACAATACACGTGCTTGCCGTGTGCCAAATTTGACAGCTACACTGTATGCCCGATACCACTATAAGGGCTGCGCAAATGTCTACACCAAAATCAGTTTTTAAAGCAGAATGGTGCTTGTATTGTGGCACTGACCTTCGACTGCAAGATATTTTTAATTCAAACTTCTAACTCCGAGTCAGGCACTTTGTCTCGTCTTTACGAGATAACTTCAGCGCAAGGCGGGAAAGGCAGCTCCAGGCGGCCAAACCTGTGACGTACGAGACTTATGACTTCCAAATATGGATCCAGGCGGACACAGCTGTGACGTGTGACTTCCAAAATTTTGAAGAAGAACGCCCTCAGATTGTCGCTGTTCGTCAGAGCTAGTAAAAGCGACTCCATCATATGGTATATTTAACAAGCTAGCTTTTACGTTGCTCTGACACTCAGGGTAGTTAAGAGCCAATCTGATCCGCGGACTAACAGATCCGCGAATCACATATTGTGTGCACTGGACAATGGACCCCCCCCCCCCCCCCGCCCCACGCGCGCCGTCCCAGGGGCAGAGCAATAAAATATTGACATGCTCTCAAGTGGGCCGCGCCTTATTTAATCGTTCGTAAAACGCTTTTGGTCTAACAAATTAGAAAATTCACTTTATCACCATGTAAGACTATTAACGACTTTTCTTGAGTAACACGTACTAGACAAAAATTTGGCGTGTAAGTCTGAATCAACTTTAGGTCTAAAATTCTTTTGTTAAACAGACCTCAGTAGTTAAACGTGAATTAGTACAAGTTCAATCTGATGTACATTAAACTCAAGTGTCCTAGCGCAGAGTAACACACTTCCTAATATTTTTAAGGCAAAAGGATGCCGTATGCAAAAAAAAAAACTACTTAAAATCGTGTGGATCTGAAATTTGTTATAGAAGTTTTTGACGAATTTCTATTATTCACCAGGCAGGTCAATCAAAATGGTATATTTGATTATATTATAATCAAAAATGAATCCATAGTCATTCCGATTTGATATAAGATATCCAATTTAAAATCACTTTGTAGCTATTTCAGGAGCTGCGCTTCCACTAACTAACTAACTAACTAACTAACTAACTAATGGCTACTCACAGAGTTCTCTGGCCAGCTCTGTGGGTCACTCCACGGCTTCAGACCGTTTTCTCCCCACGGACACGCGCTAGTATCGCCTTGAAACACAAATAATAAAAGAATAAAACCGTACCAAGATCCATTTCCGTTTCTACGTTGCATTTCTGATGAATATCATCAAAGTGCGACGATCGAATTTCCACTGGGGAAGAATCCTGGAGTTGCTGTTTTTATGCACTTCATTAATTGCATGGAAGTCTGCTGATGATAGCCCTTTGAGGAAAGGTGTATCCTGGTATGGAGACTCGGTCAAAGAGCGGGTATAATTTACCAAAATTTATCTAAAAACAATTTTTTCCAGTAAGGTTCAAGGTAGCAAAGGGCGAGGGGTGTTTTCGATGTCCGTTTTCCTAACTCTAACTAATGGGACAAATCCTGTGTGTTACAACAATCTCGAAGATTCAATTTTATTAGCATGTTGAAATTAACATCACAATTAATATCGCACTTTAATGGATTGTTTAGTAAAAGAAAAAAGAGTACATTTTCCAGGAAAGGAGATAATTGATGATTTGATGCTAAAATAAACCCCACGTGCAAAACGACTAACATAATTCTAGGGCGCAACGAGGCAAGGCTAATAATGCCACTATAAAGTCAGTGTATATCTTGTCCTTGTCTTAAATAAATGTGCTTATTAGCTTTATCTCTTGTACAGTTGTAATTATTAAGACTCAAATAATCGTTTTTTGAGACTCCAGCAACTCCCACTGAACTTAAATTGACTTTGAACAGTGATTGCTGCCGCAACACATCTACATGAACCAGTAATATACCTTCATGATGATCATTATTATTGATACCGCTATAAAGCCATCTGGAATTTCGAAACCTCTTATGTATCCAATTAGCTCTGTTTTACTGAGAAAAGACCATCTTTATTCAGCGTCAAATACCCATCTTCAGTTTTCTTATGTTATCCTGGTACACCGCCATTAAAACAAACAATAACCATGCCAGTGTATAAGTACTTGCATTAGAATATTATTGATGGTCATGAACAGCAGATTTATATACAAATCGTCTTTAGTGATACATTTCTGGGATGTACGTGTTTCCACTGTTAAAATCTATTTAATTGTGGGTTGTTGTCTGTTTTCGTTGGCAAACCTCTACAAGTTATTCAACGATTTTGTTTTACATCACTTTTGCCATATCGCTCCTTGATGTCAACATCAAATTAGTTAATTTATAATAAGAGAAATTCCAAAAACGAAAAAATACATTGCTATCTGCTTATATACATTTTTATGTACACGGTACGCGTCTGAAAATATCCCGAAGTCATATTTCTATGCCCACACATCACGCAAGACTACTATTTTTTCCAATTCAGACCTTAAAAGCTACATAACTCCTCAATAAAAGTACCTGGCGTCGATAGTTTCGTCTGAAATGTACTGGAAGACATGGCGTTCTAAATCATTATATTTTAGTTACGGATTTAGGGGGGTGTCAGTGGGGTCCTGACCCCCCCCCTTCCCCACCTTTCGATTTTTGATAAAAAACGTCTAGCTGAATCATAGTTCTAAACCGTACAAAACGGCGCCATTTGCCCTCTAAAAACACCAATTTTTATCGGGGCCCTTCAGCCTGCCCCGAACCTGACGCCATGTGGGTGAGGCCTCGGTCAATCCCAAAAAGCTGGACCCCTCCCCAGTCAAAAAAAATTCTGGATCCGCCCCTGAATTTCAAATGGCACAAATAATCGAATTCAAGTTCATTGGCGGGTCAAGCCATGATTTGCGAGTAGGAAGAAATTGCTTTTATTCTCAAGGACAATTCATTTCGGCGAGTAAGTCCCGTATAGAGTACCTTTCAAAGCAATAAACGTCGCTCATTACGCTCCCCGCCCTCTCTCGGTATAGCACATTTTTTGCACGTTATTTGATACTCAGCGACGTGCGAAGTTGTCATTACACCGCCAACCATCAGCCCTCCACAGCTAGAACCAGCCTCCTTTTCATGACTAGAGAGCTTTCGCACCTGCACGTTTAGGTGACCGACTACATTTAGCTATCCGTAACCGCAAAGTGACCAACGTTTATTTCTTCGTGATTTCGCAGAAAGACCCGGTTAGCCTTTACGGATAGTCGAATTGTACAATAGGATGATACGTGTTTCCCGTGCTGTGAGCAGAGACGTTAAATGAGGTCCTACCGCTGTTGACAGGTTAGGTAATATTTGCTGCACGCGGGTCTTTGCCTTCCTGGACTTTCGAAAGACTTTAAAAGTTCTGTTGTCTCCTGTAGCAAAAACTACTTGGGAGGTGTTCTTTTTGTCAACTGCCACACCTGTGTGTATGGCAATCAGACGAGTCGGTATTTTTAACTAGATCCTCCCACCTTGGAGAACTACTTAGCATGAACTGTACAGGTGTAAATTGTGCGTATGAAAATTAAAGAGTAAAAACTGAAATTCATACAGTAAGCAAACATTTATTTAAATGAAATCTTGAAATATAAAACTACTGTTTTAACAAAGATTCAGCCTATGTGTATGTTGTAGGCAGCAAGAGCCTACTAGTAGTATGTCAGCTCAGTTTTTCTTTTTAACCAAAGACATAACCATCTCCATCATATGTTTGTCTTTCTCAATTTGAGCTTCTCGCTCTTTCTTTTCTAATTCAAAGCGTTCTTTTTCGAAGGCCAACCTGTCTTTCAGGTAACTGACGTAATCTGCTGATGAATCAGTACGGCGCTTCTTAGTTGGCGGTATGTTGTCGCAATTTTCAGCTGAAAAAATAAGTGTGTCATCAATTAATGCAGCGTCAGTTTTTGTTACTGATATGATTAATTTTAATCAATATTTGCTATTAGAGACAATTTCATGTATAGAAAGATGTGCTGTCCTTACTTTTATTGCAATGGTCATGATTATCCTCATTATGACCAACCACATCCAGGTCGCCTTTTTGTTTCTTAACCTTGAGATTTTCCATTGCAGCCTGACGGATCGCTTTGCCTTGGGTTTCCTTATCATCAGTACACTTGTTATCTTCCTGCTTTTTGACCATTTTTTCTTCGTCAAGGTTTGCCAACTCTGTGAGCAACTGAGTCCGCTCATCGTACTCTTCAGCTGTTCCCGACCTGAAATTGAAATGAAAAAGTACATGAAGCTCCCCGGTTATGTGCAACACTGGTCTGGTTACACTCGAAATGTATTTCACACTAATTAATTTTCCCATCGCCCGCAGTATGTCATGAGGGTCGGAAGGCAGAAAATCTGTTACAAAAAAGTGTTTTAAATTTTTTTGTATCTAAAAACACATATTTAGAGTGTAATCCACGTTAGGCATTTCAGTCTAAAGTGAATTTGACTGTACATACAAGATAAATCAATTAAAATGTGTATTAATGGATGATAAAAAGCAAGGCATCGCATACTCCCATTTAGGCCTGGAAATATCAATATCCCTGGAAAATGAAATGTATACATAGAATTGGAGGAGGGGGCATGCAGATCTTCGGGGATTTGGATTACATTTCAATACGATATCTTTTCAGTGTTAAGGTAACTTACGCTCTTAGAGATGCCATCTCATCTTTCCTGTGTGCTTCTTGTAAAGTTCTCACACGATCCTTACAAGCTCGGAGAGTGACGAAGCTATCAGGTTTCACGTTCTTCAATGCTTCGTTGACATTTTTATGCACTATATCCCAAGTGGCTTTTGACGAGGGTTGCGCTGCTACTACTTCACGTAGAAGAAGAACATCAAGAGCAGGGAAGAATCGAGTAGGCACTGTTTTTTGGTTGGAACATGTGGGCAATTTGCTTGTACATGTAGGTTCGGTCGGCATTCTGAATGATATAAAGCATGTTGTTTTTAATCTTTTAGATTTTAATAAATGCAGGCGGCCATGCAGCTGATGCCTGTAGGCCTATTTCTCATCCCAAAATTTCAGAGTACACATTCATTCAAATACACAAAACAGGACGACATGTGACTTGCGAAAAGGCTTCATAAAATTTGCTTTAAAGTCTAGAAGACATGTCTCCTGTCAACTAATGGAGAAAATAGAGCTACTAGTAGTATCTTACTAAACGGCGCTTACCTTGCGGATATCCTACTTGATATGCGTCAAGTGCTGACGGTTAGTCTATAGACCACTTATAAAGGCATGTGTACTCGTAACAACTGCTCACAAGATGATGACCTAACAGTCGTATAATACAATCAGTCACGCGTGCGGAAGGCCAGTTCTGACTGCCTTGTGATCAGTGGAACTGGCCTTTTTTACGGGTATAAGGCCACACTTTTTTAATTTTATGNTTTTTTTTTTTGGTTTTTTTTTTTTTTTTTCGCCCGCTCGCACCGACTTTGGGGTCCCCAGAGGATGTCATCCATAAAAATAAAAAAGTGTGGCCTAACCTATATTTCAATAGTAACAAAAACATAGACGCAAATAACAGATACAAAATGTTTCACATACATTGCAAAAATAATATGTCCAATATGATTTTAGCAGAGAAACGATCAATTTCGAAAGGCTTGATTTCATAAAATTATGCAGATTTGTCAAACCGTTTTTCATTGACGGGTAGCAATCTAGCTGCGGATAATGTTCTCTCTAACCGTATGTGCACACGTCACTAGACAGCAAAATATGATGACCTAAACGTAGTCGTTCGCCTAAACGTACAGGTGCGAAAGCTCTCTACTGATAAAAGGTCAAAGGTCTTAGTTGTATCGGTCACAGAGCCTGAAATATAGTCCTTCTATTTCAATTAAAAATTATGAACTGAAATGCTTTTGAATGCGTGAATTTACTTCGTATCTTAATGATGTCCTCCACTGTTACTTAATTATTGTTGGCATAGATGAATTTTTCAGTGATTTATAAAAGGTACTTTTAATGCTGAGCGTAGTGATACGAGATATGAAAAGCGGGAAACCAGTGGCATTCAAGATTCTGCGGTAAACGAGGGCGAAATACGGCACACCAATAGGACTCATCAGTACCTGTTAACTGGAAAGAAAACACCTTACGGTAATGTCCTCATCGTTTTTATTCATATTTTTATCAAAATATTACTCTTATTCATAATTATTGTTGGCATTTTTTAAAAAAAATATTAGACTATTCGTTTGATAGACGAGAGGCTATTGTTGGGGAAAATGATCATTTGTATCTTTGATAAGGTCATTAACCTTGTTATTTTATAACGTACCTAAAACACCATAAAACTATTTATACTGAGTATGATATTATAGAATACTTCTACACTAGACTGCCATAACGTGAAATGTGTGTTCAAATCAGTTAAGTAATTTCGAATGAATTCAATACAGTCGCAAAATATAACCCATGTACTGTATACGTAGACCGTAAAATGCCGCGCTCTNAAATTTTTTCAGAAAACCATGTGAAGCTTTCCAATACACTTCTTAAGCCCTTTTTAGGCAATTATCAAATTTTCATTTTGGATCTGGGAAGGTACTGTAATAACCTTGAATATAGTCCTATTTAGCCCTCCCTGGTTGACCCTTTTTGAATTACAGACCTTGGGGTATCCAATCTGGAATTTGTCTTGCAATTTCCTCCTGCCCACAAATGGACATTGCTCGACCAATCACTGTGTTTGGATTTGTTGTCTTGTACCATTTCTTATATAAAATATTTAGCAATGTCTTCTTGACATTTCTGAGGGAAACATCAACGTCATGCACTTATATACTTAAGAGTTTTAGTTATCATTTATAAGGTCAGAATTGGAAAGAAAAGTAACTTTGCAGGATATGTAGACAAAGAAAATATGAATCTTAGGGAGTTTCAAACGCAGGTAGCATACATTTACACATTTTCTTTTCAGACAAGGCACGTCTACCACGCAACCAGAGGCCCTCCTTACCTCTGACGTCCATAAGTGACAGTGAAGTCAGCTACTCCCATAATGAAACACTGGAAATATCCACATGCAGCAATTGCCGCTGCCAGATGAATCATTCCAACTACAGTGAAATGGGTTAATATTTACATATTCATAAATTCAATATATTTGAAGAAAAGTAATTTGCTAGGTTTAATAATTATGTAATAAAATTGGCTATTAATGGGAATCGCCCTAAAATTTGTATTGAAAGAGATAAAAGAGAAGAGCATGTTGAAGGGATTGCGTGGACCTCGGTCAATTGGCCCAACTGCTCCATGGTAAGAGTTGGAAGAGAAATTTGTGCACAGCGACATGTATGAGACAATATTTTACATAATCATTAAAGGTGGGAATAATCCAGATTTATCACAGAGTGCTTCTGTATATAGACACTGCATGTGTCTGTCTGTATCCTGATAACTGTGTCTGTCTATTATGTAGCTGTTGCCACCTGTGCCTGACACATTGTATTTTTGTTTTACTTTGAATTTACTGATTCAGCACTATTCATTGGTAAAAAGAAGGGTCCTTTTCAAAAATCAGTATGATCAGATTATTTTTTTTACAAAAGTAATTGATTTTTTGCATGTATCTTTTGGTAATAAGTTAATAAGACAAGCTCCTTAAGAAAATCAGCTTCATTGGATTACTTTTACAAATTTGAGTTTTTTTTTTTAATATTGTTGCATTGTTTATTTTGCTGATGATGATGTCACAAGTATTTGCAAATTTTTATGTCTAGTTCTGCATCCAAAAAAGGTCAATTTTCTTGATCCTTATTTTTCTTTAGCTTATCACTTAAATGAAAAAGTGGCAAAATGTTTAATGAAATGGAAGGGCAAATACTGCTGTAACAGTAACCTCACAAGAAAGAATAAAATATTTGACTCATGCTCATTGAAAGCTGCATTAACATTCAAAAAAGTAAAATAAAAAGGGGAGTAGCTACTGCTGCAAACAGGAAAGGAGTTCAATTGATTATGTATTGCTTTTCACCTTTGAACTTAAAGAATTAGTTTTTATAATGTATATTTTTTCTGGTATTAACTGAATCTTATAAATATTACTTACTTGAATCTTCAAGTATCTCTAACTAACTGTTAACATTAGAGTTGACTCTTTATACATTGTACGTTTTCTTTTTCAGATGACACCAACAATGAAAGTAAATGTTGCTGTGCAGAATGTGGTGGCAGCTCATTTACGTCGGTAAGCAGTGACCAATCAGATCCCAGCATTCAGGAAATTAGCCAATCACAAACTGAGGAAATGTCCAGTTCAGAAGATGAAGAAGATGGAGCAGAGGATGAAGTTGCTGAGGATGAAAATAAGAACGTGGAAGTGAAATTACCTCCCTTCTATACTTTCCACCATCTTAAATATGAAGATAGATACAAGATTTATAAAAATATTTTAGGTAATTAAGGTAGATTGGGGTTGCGTTTGGCAATATTGGCCTAGCAAGGGGCACATTTTCAAGGACGTACAAGTAACTACCCGGGTAAATGACAAAAGAGAGCTATTCAGTCCCCTTCCTTTATTTTAAGGAGAAAAAATATTAATACTATGGGCCTCAGAAGACTGTTTCATGTCCTTCAAAATGTCCAAAAGTGCACTATTGAAAATGTAATTTTTGAGGGAGAGGTAAAGAGAAAAAAAAACATTCATGAATAAAAGGGGGGAGGGGAGGGCTTTTATTTTTGATCTGGCAGTGGGCAGAAGAAGAATATGGTGAAAATGGCTGGATACATGCTCTTCAAACTATTTCCTTTATTTTTCTCAGTATATTACTTAACTGAAATCCTGGCAATGCTCTTTTTTTGTGTGTGTGCGTGTGTGTGTGTGTGTGCATTGCGTGTCATTTCCTAGAATTATGAGATATGATTGTGCCTCAGGTAACATAGGCATTTTAAGGAATACCTGTCAGGGGTAATCATTTCTATGGGGTTCAGTCACCAATTTTACACTGATTTTAATGACCTACTCAAAAAATTCTCCATGTGTACAGTACATGTACATGCCCCATAAACTTTTCAGCTTACTAGCCATTCAGATCACCAATTTTTCTAAAATGTAATGGGCATTCACTGGTAGGAGTAAGAATTTTAATAAACTATTAAGCCTGGAAATTTCTCCCTGTTGCATCAATATTAGTAATAACTAAACCTTAATTTTGTCAAAAATGCTGGGGGTTCAGTGGCTATAACGTTGCGGACATATGTATCTTTATATTTAGTGGACTGTGCCCCAGAGGACATACACCAGGCTTTCCAGGAGCACATGATGGAGGCAATGTGGCCGTGTCCCTGGAAAGCAGTGTGGTCAAGTTGTATAGCCAGTGAGGAGGATGAAGAAGGCTCTGAAGAAATGTTTGAAGTTCTTGTTTCGGTAATGTGGCATTTGCACTAATTTTTTTTCGTGCAAGTGGGAGGCTGTAGAGTACCTGGGTGGTTTTTCTCCCCTTCCTGGCATGTATGTGTTATCACAATTTTGCCTCTGGCATGTTACAGAAAATTCTGGCATGTTACAGATACCAGTGGAACATTACAGATTGAAAAGAAAGATGACAAGTTGTGTTGGTATAGGGGGGGGGGGGGGGGGGGGGGGTAATTTAAAAAGTTTTTTTTTTAAAAAACCTTTAAAAAAAAAATTGT